CCGCTGCTGGTGTGGCCATAGCTCTTCGGGATTGGTCCATTTCGTTCCGGGTACCGCATGACATCAGGCGGTACCCGGAACTAAATGGAAGACTCAAATGGGCAGTGACGTATCTCCAACGAGGCGTTTTGGGGAGGTATTTTCTGTGTTAGAGTTTTACTCGCTACAGGGTGTACTTTGAGGGTTTTGACTCTGCACACCGTTTACATGCATAAAAACCTTCATAACACACAAGGGGACGGGTAATAACCGGAAAAGCATGACATGGGAGCTTTAAAGGAATGAAAAGCTCCTTCTTCTTCAAACAGAGCATCTTTGAGAGAATGAAGGAAGCTTCAGCGTGAACAGAGATGTGTTCGTGTAACACTCACCCTTTACGGCCTCAGACAGAGAGGGTCCTTTTATTTCACAGTTCCATGCCATAGTTTGGAGTTTGTTCTGTGTGTTTTTTCTGCCCTCATGTTCCTGAGACATTGACATTGTTACACATTAGTACAAGAGATGGTTTGTTCCATCTGATGTCTTCCTGCTGAAATCTCTGCTACGTGTTGTCCAGCATTAACGGCCCCATGTTGGCTCTGTGTTCGCTTTGTGATGGCCTTGATTTGGCCTAGCATTGGCCCTTTGTCTGCTCTATATTGACCCTGATTTTGTCCTGTGAGGGCCCCCTGTTGGCCCCCTGTTGGCCCCTTGTTGGCATTATATTGGCCATCGGTTGGGTTGGTCTTGGCCCTAAGTTAATGTCTCATTTCTTAAATCTGTGTTGGCCCCATATTGGACCTCTTTTTGCCCGGAATTGGACACGTTTTGGCACCAAGTTGTCCTCTTATTAGCCCTCTGTTGGGCTTATTTCTGGACCTTTGTTAACTCTGTTATGGCCCTAGTTGTTGACCCTAGTTGTTGGCCCTCTTTTTGCACGGAAATAGACCCGTGTTGGCTCTAGCTTTGCCCTGTTTAAGTCCGGTATTTGAGTGTTGGCCCCAAGTTGGCTCAATTTCTGTCCCTGTATTAACTGCTTGTTGTCATAGTGTTAGCACTGTTTTGGCCCTAGGTTGGCTAGTATCTGGCCCTGTGTTGGCCCAGTTGGCCCTGCTGTAACAGAGCTGGTTGTGTTTTAATGAGCGGAGGACAGATGGAGGCTGCTGTAACTCTCTGTAAGACTCTCCTGGGAAAAACACTCAAACACTTCTGAGGACTCTCCTCCTCTTTTCTTGTCTCCGCTCTTTTGTGCATTTTATTTTCTTCTTCTAATTTCTTCTCTTTTTCCTCCTGTATCATCTCCCATCTCTCCTCTCCTCTTCCTCTTCCTCTCCTCTTCCTCTCTGTGCAATAACAGTAAAGGACATGCATTCATGGTGTTTACGTTAATCAGATGCAGAATAGAGCACAGCTCTGTTGATAAAACTCTCTTTCTCTATTTGCTGTATTCCTGGAGTTACACTACATACATTATCACTAACACACACTTGACTTGTTTTGCTCAGTGTGTGTGTGTGTCACTGGGCTGAGTTAATGAGCAGTTACCTATCAGAGGTCATCACATCTTCTCTCTTTCAGCACCAATTATCAGAAGAATCCCTCCTGGAGATAAACACTCTCTGAATGTGTGTGTGTGGAAACATGTGACGAGTAAAAGGTACTTTTAGATCATAGATAACAAGTTTGTTTCACAGATAACAGACACAATGCTTTATTGTGCAGGAGACAATTTATCATCTCTAATAATATGTCTTGACACACACACAGACACACTCTTTAAGACTTCAATTTCTGTCTCTGACTCCGAGACACAGTGTGTATGTGTGTGTGTGTGTGTGTGTGTGTGTGTGTGTGTGTGTGTGTGTGTGTGTGTGTGTGTGTGTGTGTGTGTGTGTGTGTGTGTGTCAGACAGTAACTTTGAAGTTCCTGTTTCACTGTGTCTCTCAGTTCATCTCTCTCTTCTCTTTGAAGTCTATCTGAATTGTGCTGACTTGTCATCTGAACACGGTGTGTGTGTGTGTGTGTGTGTGTGTGTGTGTGTGTGTGTGTGTGTGTGTGTGTGTGTGTGTGTGTGTGTGTGTGTGTGTGTGTGTGTGTGTGTGTGTGTGTGTGTGTGTGTGTGTGTGTGTGTGTGTGTGTGTGTGTGTGTGTGTGTGTGTGTCCTGTAAAATGCTGATGTTATTACTCTGTGTGTTGACTCATTGGGTTGTGAAGCACAGAGGTTGTAGAACCAGAGTAGAAGGCATTTAAAGACAAATGAAGTGAGGATTTGTGTTGTCCATTAGAGGGTAGAATAATCAATCAATCAATCAATCAATCAATGTTTATTTATATAGCCCAATATCACAAATGTTACATTTGTCTCAGTGGACTTCACAGTTTGTACAGAATATCAGTATGACAATACGACACCCTCTGTCCTTAGACCCTCACATCGTACAAGGAAACACTTCCAGAGAGAAACCCACAGTTTAAAGGGGAAAATGGGAGAAACCTCAGGGAGAGCAACAGAGGAGGGATCCCTCTCCCAGGACGGACAGACGTGCAATAGATGCTGTGTGTAAATCGAAGAGATAATACATTTTACAGCGTAGGTGGACCAAATGTTTGGAAATGCATGTGTCTATAATAAGAAGATAACTCGATTGGACTCCTTTATTTACTTCTGGAACAAAGTGACATCACTATGTAACAGTCACGCTCCTACTGGCTAGCGCTCCAACACATGTACGTGATAGGCTAAGGGGCGGGACATCTCTAAGCTGGTTGACCAATCACAACAGAGCCGGCCAGCTAACCAATCAGAGCAGACTGGGCTCTGGTTTCAGACAGAGGGTGAAAAGAGGTGCTGCAGCACAGGCAGTATGAGAACAATAAAGAGCCTTTTGAACATTATTATGCTTCTTGTACTTTCTGGTATTCTGTTTTACTCATCATACTATATTTAGCCTTCTCATTTCATTCTTTTTTTTTTCCGAAAATACATTGACATATAAAAACATTAGTCCCACGAGCCTAAAATATAGTATGATAATAAAAACTCACACATCACGAAAATGCTACTTATACATACATATATACATTCAAGCCCACACATGTCTTCCCCCTTATAAAAAAATCAGTTGCAGGTACAAATGAGCGTAAAAAGCATCCCAGTTGTGAAGCGTTGACCCGGGTGGAGCCTCAGGCAGACGGCAACAGCACAGCTTCTCTCTCTTCAGATCCTCAGCGTCTCACATGCAGAATATCTCAGTGTTGTGTCTGAGCAGCGAGGCTTTGAAACAGCATTGATTCCAACAGCCGCACACGACTGATTCACATGTTTATTGAACAGCAGTCCTGCAGGAACTTGTAACCATAAGAACATTTTCCTTCTTCTCTCTTGATTTCTTACCTCACTAAACTTTCTCCTGATGAGTTGTTGGTCTCAATCTCAAGTCTTCTTCAACACAGCATCCTGTTTATTAAATCAATGATGCTCCCATTCAGAGTAAAACAGATGATAACATTTGTGCACATTCGGTTGTAGCTAACTCCACCCTCTTGTGTCAGGATGTCGGCCAAAACGGAGATGGAAAAAAGCCACGATTTATTAACGGTTCATCTCTTGTGATTAGGTTAGCTCGCCAGACATATTTAGACATTATTTTTATTACAACATAAAAACATTTATATTCAACAATGTGGTCTGTGTTTGCGTCTAACAAGTTTTCACTTGATGGAAGTAAGTTGTTACATTTCTATCATCAAACCTTGTCTTGTTCACGCAGGGCCGGCCCTGACCTAGGCAAGATTTTAGCTGGCGAAAATGATGCCGAAGTAACAACATACTGATACCGGTTTGTAAAAACCATGAATTAATGCTTTGACAAGTCTGCAGACAGACGGCAGGCGAAAAACCTTTTAAAATGCGTGTTTTCTGAATGGAGATTGGCTAAGCTAACGTTGTATATGCTCTGACCGTCCACACTCACAACAACGGCCTACAGACATAAATAAACCAGCGACTGTATTCGCCATGACAGACAGTCTGTGGTTTGTACTTGTTTAACTTTTGTCTAGTTTCTGAACAGATATGAGGAGCTGTGAGCTCTGAGTGCTAACAGCTAACGGCTGTGTTGTTTTTCTGGGGTTCTCATTGAAGATGACGTCACGGCTCCGCCTACACTGCGTTACTATAGATACTACCCCAGTTCCTAAACTGTAATGGAAATGCGCCATAAAGTGAGCCAGTCCTAACGAGGCCTAGCCATACCGAGCGAGGCCGAGCGAGGCCGTGTAGTGGAAATGCGCCATAAAGCTCTCCCCCCGCGGCCGCTTACACAGTAAATTCCAATGTTAATAAAAGCACACAAAAGCTGTATATGTTTTTCGGGAGTTTGATTTAATTTAAATTAACACAAATACAAAATTAAAACCTAGAATTGCACACTAAAACCATTATTCCAAAAAAAGAACTATTTCACATAAACCTCTGTTTTTTACTGGGGCTGGGGCAGTTCAACTTGATTTGGGGGGGGGGGTGCCATAGATTCTGCGCTGTACGCAATATAGGCGTAGTTCTGTTAGTATAAGATAATAAGATGTACTTTGTTGATCCAAAATCGGGAAATTGTGTTGTTATAAAATTAAAAAAAATATATTTTTTAAATTTCTAACTTTTTTTAATTATTTTTTTCTCCCCAATTTTCTTAGCGCCCCCGATGGGTTGATGCGCCCTTAGCATTCGCCTATACTGCCTATGCCAAGGGCCGGCCCTGTGTTCACGTTCAGTTGTCTTTTGGTTCCAAAAAAAAAATGGCGACTGCCAAAATGTCAAACTCAAGTCTTCAAAGAGTCCACCACTTTAATATGGGTTTAACCAAATCTCCTCTGGTGAAGCTCAGCTTAAATACAAAAAGTCCTTTAGCATGTTGTTCGTCATCAAATCTGTATTCCAACAGCAACGTCAACTGTGTCGTTGTGTGAGGCATCTCTGCAGAATATAAACAGTTCTCATCCTCCCGCTCTTCATCCGTCAGGTCTGTCGGTGCTGCAGAGGATCTTGGACACGGCGGCGGAGAAGGTCTGGCAGGTCACCTCCATAAACCTGGACTCTCTGACTGAAGCCGGGTTCATCAAGCTGCTCACAGACCTCGACATCAAGAAGGAGTTTCAGATCATCATCGACTGCGAGCTGGAGAGACTCAACTCCATCCTCAACCTGGTAACACTGAACAGTGGATTTATTCTGAGGAATAATGTTTTCAGGGGAAAAGATGACATTTTCTGCCAAAAAAAACCCACAAAAAAAAGAGTCCCATTTAAAAAAAAACAAGAACAACATAATAAAAAGAGAGAATAATGTTTAAGTTAAAGTGAAAAATCATTGAGTCAAGTGAATTTAAGTCGAAATATCATTTTGAAGTCACCTTGAATTGAGAAAACCTGTTCTTAAAACGTGTTTATTTGTGCGGGTTTATCATGAATACATTCTGTCTTAGGTTGGTGTGTTTACAGTATTGCAATCATTTAATATAACTCGTTAAAAACTCCATTTTCTACACTCGTCGCTCTGCTCTCATGCCATCATTTGCCACATCGCCTTAACTGATAACAACTTCATCCAGAATCACTTTTGAATCACAAATCCTGAGATTTAATGGATTCAAACATGTAATACAGTCCAACGCCAAGAAGAGGAAGAGGTCCAGAGGCAGAGGAGGGGAAATGTTCAAACAGCTTCCTCCAGATGTTAGTGAGCGTTCAACCACTGATGCATCCTCCTCCTCTTCCTCCTCCTCTTCCTCCTCTACAGCTGTTTATCTCCTCACCTCTTTCTAACCTCTATCCTCCTCTCTTCCTCTCCTCCTTTCATCCAGCGGAGGACACCCTCACTCTTTCTGATGGCCAATTAATTCCTCAAAGACCATTTGAATCCTCCAATTAGCAGCTGTTAAACATACATACATACACACACACACACACACACACACACACACACACACACACACACACACACACACACACACACACACACACACACACACACACACACACACACACACACAGATGGGGGTGATGAATGCCTAATGGGTGCTTTTTATCATCGTTAGAAGCATCAGAGAAGTGTAATTAGCATCTAATTTATTCTGACTTTTCCTCAGATTGCTGCTCAGAAGAGAAACTTGAAGATGTACCACTACGTCTTCAACAATCTGGTGAGTGTTTACTGCAGGGGAGTCGTGTACAGAGTGGTGCAGGGATCACGTCATTCTGCCCTGAAGGCAGCATCGCCCTGGACCAATGGGATTTCTCCATGTGATTTTGGATTATAGCAGAAAATAATATCTGTGTCGAACAAAGGTTTATGATACTTACACGTTTAGTTCAGCAGGATAATCTCCACATACTAACACCACTTTATGAATTTTGAAGTGAAAAGCTAACGTTGGGCTATAAAGGAACTACAGCACAGTCACATGACTTCACGTCACCACCGCTAAGCTAAAGGTGGCTAATGTTGGGCTATAGAGGAACTACAGCACGGTCACATGACTTCACGTCACCACTGCTAAGCTAAAGGAGGCTAATGTTGGGCTATAAAGGAACTACAGCACAGTCACATGACTTCACGTCACCACCGCTAAGCTAAAGGAGGCTAATGTTGGGCTATAAAGGAACTACAGCACAGTCACATGACTTCACGTCACCACCGCTAAGCTAAAGGTGGCTAATGTTGGGCTATAGAGGAACTAAAGCACGGTCACATGACTTCACGTCACCACTGCTAAGCTAAAGGAGGCTAATGTTGGGCTATAAAGGAACTACAGCACGGTCACATGACTTCACGTCACCACTGCTAAGCTAAAGGCGGCTAATGTTGGGCTATAAAGGAATTACAGCACGGTCACATGACCTCACGTCACCACCGTTAAGCTAAAGGCGGCTAATGTTGGGCTGTAAAGGAACTACAGCACGGTCACATGACTTCACGTCACCACCGCTAAGCTAAAGGCGGCTAATGTATATATCCATACTAACGTATTTTATGTCGTAGAATAAAAATCTCTTCCGCTTGTGTTAACCACAGACCTTATTGCAGGCTAACAACCCAAAACACATTCAGAAAACCATTGACCTCCAAGCCAGGGTACAGAAAGTGATGATATGCTGACTCATTTCAGGGTTTTATGCAGAATCTATGCAGTGTTTGATAGAGAAGATAAGTTTCATATGTGTGTGTGTGTGTGTGTGTTCAGGGCTTCTTGGACCTGAACATGACAGAGTTCCAGAAGCTCGGTGGCAACGTGACGGGCTTCCAGCTGGTGAACCGGTCCGATCCGACCTTTGAGAAGATCGACAGAGACTGGCTGGAGTTCGACAACAAAGACCTGAAACTGCCCCGCAGGAAACTCAGGGTAACACACACACACACGCATGCACGCACGCATGCAGACAGACAGACAGACATACAGACACACACACACAGCTTTTTCTTGTCAACACTTTTCTCAAAACACTATAACTTTTTTTCAAATCTTGAAATATTACTTGTATTGTTGAACCGTTGTGTCGTCTTTTACTGATAAATGTCTGACCATGAACGGCCTCATTTACCTTAAATCAGTTTCATATTAATATTGATATTAATGTTTCCTCCTCCCTCAGTACACCGGGGCTCTGACCTATGACGGCGTCACCGTCATGGCCACCGCCTTCCAGAACCTGCGGAGGCAGCGCATCGACATCTCGCGCCGCGGGAACGCCGGAGAGTGTCTCGCCAACCCCCCCGCCCCCTGGGGACAGGGCATCGACATCCAGAGGGCCCTGCAGCAGGTCAGAAACATATACAAATACAGACTAATACACACACATACTGAACATCCAGAGGGCCCCGCAGCAGGTCAGAAACATACGCATACATATTCAGAAATATACAGAAATACTAACACGTACGCAGAAATACACAGAAATGTACACAGAAAAATACACAGAAAAATACACAGAAATACAAACATATACACACTAATACATGTAGAGGGTCCAACACCAGATCAGAAAATACACAAAAATATGCATACATATTCAGAAATATACAAAAATACTACCATATACAAAGAAAAATACACAGAAAGACAGCATCAACTGGGCTCTGCAACAGGTCAGAAAATACACAGAAATATACAGAAATACGTATTCAATATTCATGTGTGTGTGTGTGTGTGTGTGTGTGTGTGTGTGTGTGTGTGTGTGTGTGTGTGTGTGTGTGTGTGTGTGTGTGTGTGTGTGTGTGTGTGTGTGTGTGTGTGTGTGTGTGCAGGTGCGTCTGGAGGGTCTGACGGGCCGTGTGCAGTTCGATGAGCGGGGGCAGCGCACCAACTTCTCTCTGAGGGTGATGGAGCTCGGCCTGGACACGCCCCGACAGGTGAGGCTGCTGCTCTCTAACAGAGCCTCTGTGTGGAGGAGGATTCACTTTAGTCAGCTCCTTTCAATAATTAGCTCCCGCTCCTCTGATTAAAGATAATCTGTGGAATCAGCTGCTGCAGCGCTAAAACCTGCAGACTGTCAGCGCTCTGCTCCACTCCAGGGAGGAGGAAGCCTTAGGATTTAGTAAAAGTAGCAAAACCACAATTTAGAATACATTCATTTAGCTGACGGTTTTATCCAAAGACACCATCAGGACTAATCATCCTGCAAGTACTTAAGCTTTAAATAAGCATTTTTTAAGTATGTTTAATCATCTTTACATACTCTTACAAGTTAGCAATCTAAATATGAAGTGATTATCTGCTGTGTTCAGATCGGCTACTGGAGCGAGCGCAGAGGCTACGTGAACACGGCCATCTACAAACCGGTTCAGGAGGAGTTCCACGGCCTGCAGAACCGCACCTACGTGGTCACCACCATCCTGGTAAGAACACGTCATGTGATTACATCCACACGTGTTGGTTAAAGTAACGCCTGCGATCCCTACATGATCCAGGTGTGTGTTGTGGTGAATGGACTGTACTTATAAAGCCCTTTATCCAGGCTTTATGACCCCTCAAAGCTCTTTACATAATACGAGTCATTCACACCTCATTCATGCAGAGCAGCACCACTTGCTCTAGGGAAGCTAACACTCACACACACTCACACACACTCATACACCGTTGGCCATCAGGAGCACCTCAGGGTTCAATATCTTGCCCAAGGACACATCGACATGTTGACTGAGGGGCTGGGATCGAACCAACAACCTGCTGGTTTAAAGACGACAGCACTCCCTCGCAGCCACAATCTCCCCTGAACCGTCCTCTTGTGGCTGAAATTAGTATTACAACACCAAACATGGCAAACAATAAACCTTCCTGTTTTACCTAGAAAAACGTTCTATGTTCACTTGTAAACCGGTACAACTTAAATATTTTCCTCCTGGCAACAATTTTTACAGACGTTTTTTCAGATGACATAACAAAGGACGGTAATTAGGGTAAAAACAGTTAACTATTCCACCTGTTATGAAGTCATAAATACAGTAAAGAAGGCATTTAGTACCATCCTGGTAGGACCGGGAACGCGTGATGTGAAAACTGAGCGTGTTGGTTGAAGTAATACCTGGCTCTCCGTGCAGGAAGCCCCCTACATGATGCTGAAGAAGAACCACGAGCAGTACGAAGGGAACGAGCGCTACGAGGGTTACTGCGCAGAACTGGCCGCTGAGATCGCCAAACATGTGGGCTTCGTTTACCGCCTGGAGCTGGTGGGGGACGGAAAGTACGGATCCAGAGACGGAGATACCAAGATGTGGAACGGCATGGTGGGAGAGCTGGTGTACGGGGTGAGTGGGGGGATGCATCTCACAGACTAAAACACTATAATATAATACTCACATTTATAAAAAAGCTTAAAAAAGTATCTGTAAGTGACATTAACTCCCTGCGACAAATCAATATTGTAAACTCTTGTGCCTGAAGTTAGCTTTGAAACAACACAATCTTATTTCTCCCTCTCTTTTAACTGGTTATCAATACATCAAGGAACCTGCCGGATTATCCAGGCAGAAGGTTTCCCCTGCTTTTATAATGAAAATAAAGAAGGAAAATCTTAAGTTATTAAAACAGGAGAGAATCCTTCATCAGAGTGTGGACGTGTTGTTTGATTATACTTCAGCCTCTTGTGGCCAAAATGATTACTACAACAACAAACATGCAAAGCAGCAACTTCAAATAGTATCAACTTTCAAAAGCTAGTTTTATTTCACATGGCAAAACTTTAATATTGTCACCATGCTAAATACATGTTTTTTCTTTAAGCAAAACTTTAACAATAAAAAAAAACTTTATATGAAACTTTTCTTTATTTTGAAATATATTTTTCGTCTGGCAAAACGTTTTTATTCTTTTCACTCAGCAAAACTTTGTTCATGCGGCAAAGGTTTTAGTTTTTTCATTGTCAAAAATATGTACTATACTTCAGATCTCCAGGCTTCCTTACTCAGGCATTGTTGTTGTTACCTGTCCTCCTCTCTCAGGTGTGTGTTGTTACCTGTCCTCCTCTCTCAGGTGTGTGTTGTTACCTGTCCTCCTCTCTCAGGTGTGTGTTGTTACCTGTCCTCCTCTCTCTCAGGTGTGTGTTGTTACCTGTCCTCCTCTCTCAGGTGTGTGTTGTTACCTGTCCTCCTCTCTCAGGTGTGTGTTGTTACCTGTCCTCCTCTCTCAGGTGTGTGTTGTTACCTGTCCTCCTCTCTCTCAGGTGTGTGTTGTTACCTGTCCTCCTCTCTCTCAGGTGTGTGTTGTTACCTGTCCTCCTCTCTCAGGTGTGTGTTGTTACCTGTCCTCCTCTCTCAGGTGTGTGTTGTTACCTGTCCTCCTCTCTCAGGTGTGTGTTGTTACCTGTCCTCCTCTCTCAGGTGTGTGTTGTTACCTGTCCTCCTCTCTCAGGTGTGTGTTGTTACCTGTCCTCCTCTCTCAGGTGTGTGTTGTTACCTGTCCTCCTCTCTCAGGTGTGTGTTGTTACCTGTCCTCCTCTCTCTCAGGTGTGTGTTGTTACCTGTCCTCCTCTCTCTCAGGTGTGTGTTGTTACCTGTCCTCCCTCTCTCCCCTGCAGAAGGCAGATGTGGCGGTGGCCCCCCTCACCATCACCCTGGTGAGGGAGCAGGTGATCGACTTCACGAAGCCCTTCATGTCTCTGGGTATCTCCATCATGATCAAGAAACCCACCAAGTCCAAACCGGGGGTGTTCTCCTTCCTCGACCCGCTGGCCTACGAGATCTGGATGTGCATCGTGTTCGCCTACATCGGAGTCAGCGTGGTGCTCTTCCTGGTGAGGAGCCTGGGTCACAGTCAACTTTATTGTTCATCTTTCAGTTTGTTTTTACAGACAGAGATATCAAAATACCGTTTCCCAAAAATCAGAGGAATACAAAATACAAATATATATATATATAAAAATATGTATATACACAATCAACAGACACATGTATACATATGCACACATTAAGACATAAATAAAAGCACATCAATCAATATATACAAAATAACAGTCACTTACAATTCTGTGAAAAATGTACATTAGTGCCAGACTGTCCATAGCAGGGTAACAAGTGTGTGGTGCTGGATGTCTGTGTCTCAGTGTGTGTGGTGTTAGACCCTAGGCCCAGTGGGGAGGGGGGAGGGGGGAGGGGGGGAGAGGTTTTTTAGTTGGCTATTGTTACTGCAAACAAAGTGCTGCTGTACTTTGACTACTCTGCTCCTGTCTCAGGTGAGTCGATTCAGTCCGTATGAGTGGAAAGGTGAAGACTCTGACGATGAAGATGAAACTCTACCCTCCTCTTCATCACGACGAGCGCTGCCCACCTCCTCCTCTGAGCTCACTCACTCTCCAGGTATCTTCTTCCTTTGCCTCCTCTTGTTCCTTCTACTCCTCCTCCTCTTTGTCATCCTCCTCTTCCTCTTCCTCCTCCTTCAGTCTCTGTTCTCCTTGGTTCTCCAGTGATGTTCTGCTTGTGTTCCTCAGGGTTCTCCCAGTCTCAGAACCAGAGCCATCAGAAGGAGAAGGAGAAGGATTCTCCTGAATACACCAACGACTTTGGGATCTTTAACTCTCTGTGGTTCTCTCTGGGCGCCTTCATGCAGCAGGGCTGCGACATCTCCCCCAGGTACAACACTCTAAATATCTGAGGTCGAAACATGTTATCATTCGACTAATTCAATTTTTTTTATTTGTCTATTTTTTAAGTTATGCTTTGGCATTTGCAGTTAAGATGTTTTGATAATTGTGTTCTTTGTTATGAGGCCCTCTGATAGAAAGCTCTAACAAAATGTACAATTAAAAAACATGCGAGAGGTATAAGGTCTCAACTATTCTTGTATTTATATATACATATATATATACATCATACCAGCAATATTACTACAATTTAAATGGCTGCATGTGTAGAATATTTTACACTCATGAAACTAAGGATTACAAACATAGGACTCTTTGACACAGTTTTTAGATAGAAATATTGAAGATTGTTGGTCAAAAAAACCTGTTTTGAATTGAACGTATTCACTAACCATGCTACTGTAAACTGTAACATGTAGAGAAAAAAAGTCTTGCTTGAAATAAATCTCTTTTCAAGGTTTTGGCTTTTTCTCCAATAGCTAGTTTCACAACAACATGATCATTGGACAGTATATATCTATATATATATATATATATATATATATAAGTATACCAGCAACATTACCATAGTTTCAGTGTCTCTAATATGTCACAGATGTGCAATACATTTATGTAACTGTGTTTTTTTTATTCATCAATTATTTGATTTCTTTTTCAAAATAAAAGTCCTCAGCATTCTTTTTGTAGACAAACTGCTTTATTTATTAACACAAGGCTTTGATTCTGAAATGTTTGCTTTTTTTGTGCATGTTTTTTTTTTCTATTTACAAATGAGGAAAACACTTCTTAACATTTTTGTTCTAAATAATCAGACATCTAAAAACAACATTGTTTTTCAGGGTGATGTGTGTGTGTCTCTAGGCTGAGCCAGGCTATAGCTGTTTCCCTCTGCTGCCAGTGTTTATGCTAAGCTAAGCTAACTGAAATCTTAACACACAGCGGTCCTCACAAAAACAGCGAGATACACACACACAAAAACATACCACTAGTGATGTATATAACTTATTCATTCTGACATATCCTCACACTCACTCACACTCACACTCACACACACACACATACACACACACACACACACACACACACACACACACACACACACACACACACACACACACATTATCATGAAGCTAACATGTAATGTGACGTGCTGCCGGGTCCTGTTGTATGTTACCGCTGTGTGAACGCCTGAGGCTTTCTATTCCTGATCTACGCCTGTGTGTGTGTGTGTGTGTGTGTGTGTGTGTGTGTGTGTGTGTGTGTGTGTGTGTGTGTGTGTGTGTGTGTGTGTGTGTGTGTGTGTGTGTGTGTGTGTGTGTGTGTGTGTGTGTGTGTGTGTGTGTGTATACATGTATGAGGATGTCAATATGTATGTGTGTGTTTTTCTCATTATTGCAATGTTGGAGTTTCAACATGTATGAAACTGGAAAGGTTTGAACACAAAATATTCACTGGTTTGCCCCTTTTTTTGAAAAACACATCATTGCTTCTACACTCTTCAAGCACATAATAATAATACATATTCCACTATTACATCTACAAAGAGACCAGAGGCCTGTACTACGAAGCCGGATTTTCGCTTAGCGGGCTAACTTCAGGGAAAACTCTGGGTTTCCGGTCCTACGACGCTGGTTCTCTTTTTAGCAGGCTAGATCTCCATGGTAACTTATGCTGAGTGGCTAACCTCCTCGGGAGGAGGTTAGGTTGCAGGCTAAGAGATCAACTCAGTGAAAGCACCGCCTGCTGACCAATCAGAGCTCCGTGTGCAGAGTTTAAAGCGATCAATTCATATTACAGGAGAAAGGAAATACAGAAAGACGGCCGGCAAAAATCAACTGACTGTGTGAACGTGAAAATTAATAGAATATCCCCTCCCATCTTCAGAGCAATCTGACTATTATAACATTAGCGTTAAGAAAGCTTACTTAAATATCTGCCACGACATAAGTAACTGGATCAGAGTAACATTAAGTACAGTCCGCGGCACTGTGAGTGCAGACGTCGATGTGTCCCATTATCATTCATATCACATCATATCACATCATAATGTATCATATATTTCCTTATCTGAGTCAGCTTCTTGAGCCGTATCTGGCCGTGCAACACTCACAGTGTCACATACTGTATGCAGAAGTATTATTTTAAGCAGCACATTAAGTTGACGAAACACTCGAGTCAAATGTAATGAAAGTCAGATCGTGTCTTGGACGGGGCAGTGATATCATAAACCTGTTAATGTACGCATTCAAACGCTTTTTCTGTTACCAGCTGTATTCACCTTGCAGGTGCAGCTATGTGGCTTTGATCCTGGATAAAGTGTTTAAGTCATGGATGTTTAAAGTTTAACTTCTTCATATTTGACTAATATTAAAGTTCACTTTTCATTCAGGAAGTATGACGCTGCGCTGTCAGTACGCTTGTTCATGTTTGTGATTGGTCGAATGCTCCAAATACCACCCCTTTCATGTGAACGCGCACCTAACTAGATAGGACACGGCTGGCTTGAGCGATCCACTTGATAACCAGCGTCGTAGGACCGCTTAGCGAGAGCGCGTATGTTTTGGATTAGGCCAACCGGCTAACTCAAACATATCCAGGTTATGTTGAACCAGCTTCGTAGTACAGGCCTCTGCTTATAAGCTGATTTTATTCCAACAATCTTAAATATAAAAACAGTGGTGTTGCATCATCTATCCCAAAACCTGTTGAAATCCAAGTGTTTGTTAATGTTTAAAGCTTGTTATCGATGCGTCTCCTCAGGTCTCTGTCCGGTCGCATCGTGGGGGGGGTGTGGTGGTTCTTCACCCTCATCATCATCTCCTCTTACACCGCTAACCTGGCTGCCTTCCTCACGGTGGAGAGGATGGTTTCGCCCATCGAGGGCTCCGAGGACCTGGCCAAGCAGACAGAGATCGCCTACGGGACGCTGGACGGCGGCTCCACCAAAGAGTTCTTCAGGGTGAGGACACACACCGTTTTAATTCCCATCCAGATGTGTGACAGTTTGACTCTCCAAGGTTCAGTTCAGTGTGGGCAGCCATGTTGCTCATCTGGCATTTCAGATGTGTCAGTCACATCTTGAAATGGCTGCTAGAAAAAAGCATTCTTACATATTTTATATTTTTGGAAATGTCTAGAAATGTAGCTATAATTTGCACTGCATTTGGATTGGCTTCTGTACGACAGCTAATGGTTTCATGCTGTCTAAACTTCCATACTTACCATCATTGTGAACACTTGATAGATGTGTACTTTTTAACAGTGGAACATTGGACACATGCATGAACTAATTAGATTCTGAATATTCAAATGTGTTTTTCCTAAATCTGAGATCAGAGCAGGTCTTGGTACAGTGAGTGTAAATGGACACTATTATACTCCTTACTCATGGAGACCCTAATAATCAGTTTGTATCTCCAATATCTAACCCTAGCGGTCAAAGATCGCCGTCTTCGAGAAGATGTGGTCGTACATGCGCAGCACGGACCCCACAGTGTTCGTGAAGAACACCAACGAGGGCGTGAGCCGCGTCCGCAAGTCGAAGGGGAAATACGCCTACCTGCTGGAGTCGTCCATGAACGAGTACATCGAGCAGAGGAAGCCCTGTGACACCATGAAGGTCGGAGGAAACCTGGACTCCAAAGGCTACGGGGTGGCCACGCCCAAAGGATCCGCCCTCAGGTAAACTCACAGTCTGTGGGGTCCTGTTGTGTGTTTCTGTGGGACATCAGGACAAGCACACCTTTAGACTAAATGTACTACGGGTGATCTACGGCATCCACACAATGCACATGTTGAAATATTATTATTCTGTGCCTATAAGATTTATACAGGAAACAGCATTGGTTGCATGAACTCAAACACATTTAAGGGTTTTAAACGTTGTCTTATAACATGCCAGAGTTGCTGATCTCACAGCAGGTCTGGTGTGCAGAGGTGTGGACTTTTGATCGACTTGATAAAAACAAAAGGACCAGACAAGACAGAGCAGAGACTCTTAGTTAAAGCAGTTTGTGTTTGGATAGTTTAATCCACGACGTTTCACTTTAAAGAAAGATACTGACAGAAAAGGGAAAGGGTAGCGTGTTGCCTGATAAAATATTTGGTGTATTTAGGCACATGAATCCAATTTGTATCATAATCTCACTATGGACTAGTGCAGTATATTTAAATCGCAGGAAGCACAGTATTTGTAAAAGATTATATGTGTGTTAAATACCACTTTGAGGAGTTACTCCAGCCTACAAATGGTATTCTACACACTTAATAAAACATATTTGTTTGGTTCAGATCCTTGTAAATAAATCACACCATGATCATTTTAATATATTGATATATATATGATAAAGAGAAGTTAAAAATGGTGCAGCCCTAATGTGTTTTACACAGTAGTCGACACTAGCTTGTTAAGAAGTATTTTAGGTGAAAATACAAAAGAGTGTATTTCTTGGACTCAAACTAATTAAAGTACATAAGCGCTATCAGCTACATGTATTAAAAGTACCAGTCAAATGTCTCCTGTGATTCGGACCCGCCCCAATATATCCCGGGTTATTCTTTGACCCTTGACTTTCAACAAAATGTATGAAAACCATTTCAGTCCAAAGTCCACTTGGACCACCAATTGTAAAGGTCAATATGAACTAAAACTAGTTTTCTGTTAAACTCGGCACAGATATTGTTTGATTCTTTGGTTTGACTCATCATATGTTTCTGTCCTGGAACTTGATTGGCTGCTGTCGGCTCTAACAAAGGACTTCTGAGGAATGTGCGGCATTAATTGGCTCAGTAAAGTAATTGATATGTGGCACACCTTTTAAAAAACATACCCTTTATTATTCTTTGGGGTTAGAGGAGCAAGGTTTGAAGTCGTTGGTGTTTAAGTCCAAGTGGAGTTGCAAGGCTTTATTTAATTTTGTCAAATTGAGTCTAGAGTCCACACTTCTGCAGAGAACCATTGAACAGTACATCCAGATTCTAGCTATGACAACGAACTGAAATACTAAAACTGACCCACAGAACTGGAGGTCAGTTTCAGGTTTAGATAACTGTCTGTGTGTTTGTCTGTCTTCCTGTCTGTCTGACTGTCAGTCTCTTAATCTGTCTCTCTGTCTGTCTTGTCTCTCTCTCTTTTGTGTTTGTCTTTGTCTATATGTGTGTCTCTCTGTCTGTCTGTCTCAGTGTTTCTGTCTGCCTGTCGGCCCGTCTACCTGTCTGTGGTTATCAGTTGTGCCTGTCTGACTGCTAACAACAACACAACAAACTGTCTATCTGTCTATGTATCTATCTATCCATCTATCCATCTATCTATCTATCTATCTGTCCATCTATCCATCTGTCCATCTATCTATCTATCTATCCATCTATCCATCCATCTATCCATCTATCCATCTATCCATCTATCTATCTATCTATCTATCTATCCATCTATCCATCCATCCATCCATCTATCCATCTATCCATCTATCCATCTATCTATCTATCTATCTATCTATCTGTCCATCTATCTATCTATCTATATCTATCTATCTATCCATCTATCTATCTATCTCTCTATCTATCTATCTCTCTATCTATCCATTCATCCCTACATGAGCATTGCTGCTGTCAGATAAAACGTGTATTATTTATAAATGTGTTGAATCGTCGTTAAATAAGACTTTGTACTGAATCAAATTTGCTAAGGCCCTTTTATTCAGTGACTTTAATTGGGTTCTTCCTCGACCCTTGTTACACCCGTCCACCAAGTTTCATTAAAATTGGGCCAGTAATAATTCTGTAATGCTGCCGACAAAACAAACCTCAACAGGAAAATCTCCTCGCCGGAGTCAAATATGGAACAAGTGGTTTCCATCATTTTCGGGATCCTTATTATATGAGAAGAAATGAGTGCCTACTTGTTGCCTCTTGTCTTGTTTAATGGCACATTCCAACTCAGATCAATGTTTTATAGGTTTTCATAAGCAAACTTTGTATGTGGTAAATGTTGTAGTACAAGGTACAGGTTCAAACACTGCAAAATCCTGAATGGTTGGAAAGAATCGTCACTTAAGCAGCGCAGGACCAATGCCCAGCATTTATTTTTGCGTCAGTAGAGACCACACACAAAACAACGGTAGCAAAAGTGAATCAGCAACAACACAGCAGCCATCTTGTAAAGCCCTACAGAACATTTAGCAACACCAGAGGAAATTAGTCCAACCACATTTTGCCCAAAAAGGGAAATACATAAATATATTGTTATATATGTTTTTGGTGTGGTTCAATGCAAGACACTGCAGATGCTCATTTAGACAGTATTGTATAGTTCACATACAAAGACCACACTTGACGGAATAATTCATTGCAAATTGAAGATGAAGGATCTTCTTTCCCATTTGTGTAGACGCCTCATTCAGTTATAAAGTTGTTGGTCTCTGAACGCTAGCTTTTCAATTGAACGAAACCAAACATTTTACCCCGGTTACAACATTAATATAATCAAGTTTATTTTTACATGTTTATCTGACAGCAGCGTTTGAAATGCATGTTCCTTCTCTGTCCATGCTTCATCAGAACGTCTTGTCCTCTTTCTTTCTGCTTCAAGTCAGCATTTTACAGACAACCCAGAGCCGGAGAACGGAGATGAGCTCCACAGATGAGATTAGTAAATGCTGAATATAATAATAATAACGTATGTTATGTAATTAGTAGGCCAGCAATATCAATCAGCGTAGTAAAACAGAACCGAGCAAATTGGCTTTCTGCCTTTCGCTGTCAAATGTGTTTTGGTTTGTTGAAAGGAAGTGAAGGGTTTCTGATGGCAGATTGTAAATCAGAAAGTTACTCACCAGTATTTTTGAGCAGTTGCCTAGCAACACATTTGGAGTTAAAGCCCCTAATGCTGAGCATATTGGATAATCAGCGTTACACAGATCACTAGTTTCATCTGAACAGACTCTGTTCTCTGCCTCTGGGTTCCTCTCCGTGCTAACAGCTGACCGTGTCCAGTCAACAGCTCCATCGTCTCCACTGACTAACTCCATCACACTCTGCTCTACTGCTGCCATCAGCTCTGCTCACACTAAAAGGGGAACTCTGGTAGGAATCAACCCTCCAACACAGTATTGAGAGAGAAAACAGACGGTAATGAAATCCTTCATAGTAATGTACGTCACGTTAAAGGGTTTGATTTTGTCACCGGCTCCGACAACATTATGGAAAGGGAGCCTACAGAGAAATGAATCATGTCTCTTCTGAAAAATACTAGGAGAGTTGATCTGCGCCAGTGTTGTCATAGTTTGTCGTAGAGTAATCTGAAATATTTTACATGTCATTGCTGACAACATGTGGAGTATTGCATGATTTCAGAAAAAGACTTCTTCACTAATTCCTGAGGTGAAGGCTTACATTAGCATTGATTTGCAACCCTGTTACTGTTATTGTAGTAATTACAGTTACAGGGTTTTAGTTTCTGCAGTTCAATGTTTTATCTTTAGTCAAATTAAATGTTCATGTATAATTAAAAAATATAAAAATAACTTTATTTTAGTCTAACATCTCACTAATGTAAACAAAAAAAAAGTTGACCATTAATACCTGAGCTAGCCAAATCAATTATTTGTAATGGTTTACTACCTGTTTTTCTCAAATACATAACAGAATATTTTAAAATAAAGGGTTCATTTTTCTAAAGTTTTTTTGTCTAAATTCTCCTCTAATTATGGAACAATCCTTAAACAATCTGAGGCAAAACAAACGTTAGTAAACGTACGAAGGATTACATTAAAGCCTGTTTAGCAGCTGTAGTGCTCTCGCTCAATACTGAACACATTTGTCACTTAGAAACAAAAACGTTTGGAAAAAAGGGTCCAGGTTGAAACATCCAGAAGTTCCCCTTTGAAAGACCATTACTACAATTCTATCATTTGGAGACCTTTTGTTCCAAAATGACGTTACAATTTCGGATTGATTGATTACAAAAAATATGTAACAGAATCCCTTTAGAACAAAACTCTTCTTTTTGACGTCATCATAATAATTGTATTGTTATCGTCCATTTACTGGTTGGCCTGTCAATAATCATTCTATTAATTCATGTTTCTTTAAAAACATCTCTGCTACCGTCTGCCTCTTGAGCTTTTATCACCACTGGTATTTAAAGGGGAACAACGAGAACTGTGTATTAATGTATAATGTACAGAATACTAAACTGTAAAACACATTAAGAATATTATTCTATGTTCCACTTGTTACTTATTATCAAGCATGTGACTGTTGTTCCTTTTTATTTATCAGGTCATGAATGTATTCTAAGTCGAGGATTGCTGCCGGTAGTAAAGTGTAGGATGCATTTGCTGTTCTTCAACCCAGACCATAATGAAATGTTGTTTTCCTTCAGCTGTGTTGAACATGAGGAACCTTCTGGTACAGCCGATTAGGCTCAATACAATCCAGCGGAGCAAATATATTCATCATGTTGACGTTATTTACCCTCGCCTATTACTCATTTCTGACTTGATTTACAGCTGTAAATATTATGTTAATTGCTTTATCAGGGAACAAATAGTCCCCTGATCGCATACATTTTGAGTTGCAAAAACTGATTTTCTGTTGACACCACTGAGTACCACCTTGTAAGTAACTACGTTTTCTGAATTATTACTGCAACTTGGTACCAAACGTATCTGTAGTTGCCGCTTTTAACCATAGTCCAATTTCTTAATTTGATCAGAACCAAGATTGCATTGTAAATTGAAATAATTACAAAATATCTCCGATCCCTGATGCTGGATTGAAAACATGGCTCTTAATGAAAGTTATATAGAACGGTGAATCGTATCCAGTTAAGGCTCAGATTGGTAGACAAAGTTCATCGGACCAGAACACTTTAGGCAAACGGTCAATTGAAGATTTACATTTTAGACCAACCTGTTAAATCATTTGGATCCTAAACCAAATTGAATCTTGAATGAAGCAATCAGAAAATGAAAGTTTGGTGAAATAATGCCACATGTTCACATAATGGTGTTTTCATTCACGGGGCAGTCATTTCTTATAAATGATGAATACAGTGTTTGGTGCTCTTGATTGGCAGTGATTCTACCAATCAGAGGGTCGGTGGTAGGATCCTTGGTCCCTTTAGGATCGTAGTTTCCTTGGGCAATAATCTAAACCATTATTTTATACCTGGCATGGGCAACAGGTGTTAGTCTCCTGGTGAGCAGTTGGTCTTTTATGGTAGCATCTGTCTCTTAGTGAATAAACACGTTTTAACTTTAGACCATTTGTGATCTCAATAACATTTGGATTCCAAACTGTCTGGACACCAAAATGGAAATGCAGTTTACTTTTGGTAAACCTATACAACTATTGTCTGTGAGCTTTGCCACTTAGAAAAAGAAGATTTAATCTGTTCTTCGGACGCCTGAATGATCCTGGCACAGATAGTGTTCAAGCCAGTGAGTCTTTAACACTAACATTATATAGATAACTTCAAACAAAAGGGAAACAGCATTTGACCAAAGTCTGGGTTGAAGAGCAGTGCTAACTTTAAGATAAGATATTACCATGCCTGTCGTAAGTAGACTCCTGTACTGATGTTGCTTCACTATGGCAGTCCTCTGTTCATTAACACGTAGTTCCCTTCTATCCCCCATCACCATCATCCCCGTAGAAACCCTGTTAACTTGGCAGTTTTAAAACTGAACGAGCAGGGCCTGTTGGACAAATTGAAAAACAGATGGTGGTATGACAAGGGAGAGTGCGGCACCGGGGGAGGGGACTCCAAGGTCAGATCACCGTAACCCCAACGGGTAACGACAGGCAATGCCACACCGGGGTAACCGGCAACAACCCACCGCTAAAATACCAGGCGTAAAACACTCCGGACGGCCCCACAGAAAACAAACAGTTGTAGAAACTCTGGATCCATCAGGTTTATTCACCTTGTTGGAGACTTCCCAGCTTCTGATCCAGGGAGTATTTTACAGACAAACACGTAGAAAGATTTTCATCAGGAAACAGGATTACATTTAGAGTCCTTTAATGAAAATGTGCAGCAGATTTTCAACATGATCGCTTTTCATACAATCATTTTTAAAAGAGTAATTTCTTAATTTTTAACCAGGTTCAGGTATTACATTACATTACATGTTACTTGTTAGACGCTTTTATCCAAAGCGACTTACATACTCAATACTGTGGACAATCCCCCACAGGAGCAATTTCGGGTGAAATGTCCCAGGGACACAACGACATGCAGTGGGGTTTGAACCTGTGCTCCCCTGATCCCAACACTAACGCACTAGCCCACTGCACCACACGCCTCCTGGTATATTTCAAATGTATAATATAACATAGTATTTGTACAGCAAAGTCTATAAATGAATAAAAGCTGACAGACAATACATCAGGATAATCCAGGTACATGAGCTCACTTGGTAAAATACCCCCTCTGATCATCTTACCTCTGAAGCCACTTCCTTGTATTCGGACAGTTTTGACTTCATCCCCCCAAAAGTGAAACGACAGCAGTCCTTAAACGTCTCTCTTTCACAAAATACAGAGGACATGTTTCCTGTTTTCGGCCAGCGGACTGATTTCGTTTCCCGGAGTGTTTTCAGCTCTTGCCGGTTACCCAAAGTGATATAGTAATACACATCTCGCACGTAGGGAGTCAGGCCAAACCAAGCTAGATGGAGTATTAACGCATATCACTTTTACGCTGACATTTACCAAGAGAAGTTTTATGTGTGATGTTCTTTGTTTTTCTTTCTGTTGTTGTTGTTGAGGTGTTCTCTGTAGCGTACCGAAACATCTGTACTGAAAATGACAGTTTTTTTATAAGATCTTTAGTGCTGCTGTAGCCGCCGCAGCTCTTTAACAATAACATAAGATAACATGGAGGTGCATAATGTTATTTATGTTATTTCCACCCCCTCCCTCCCCCTCCCTTCCTCCCATGGTTCTTTGAAGAATCCCAGTAAACCTAGCAGTACTGAAGCTCAATGAACAAGCCATCTTAGACAAGTTGAAAAACAAATGGTGGTATGACAAAGGGGAGTGTGGACACAAGGACTCCGGCAGAAAGGTCAGTTCTGGAGGATGCTCGGCCTGGTCCTGAGGTCATGTGTTGGTTTACCCCCCCACCCACCTTACCCCTTCAGACCCACACCCCCAAAACCCCCCAACTTCAGCAAGTACACTCTGGAAATAAAACGTTTTTCACCGGTTTTAACTTTCTTTTTCGTTGCAAATTTGATGTTATTTTGGTCCAAGTCAGTTACCTAGATGCAATTATAGTTTCTATGAGTTGTACGGATCCTGTTAGTTGGTGGACCCTTTTGTTTAAAAGATCTGCCGCTAGAAAGTGTAAAAAGTCCAACATTCCTCTATCTAGACGGATATTTTTACGTGTTGAATTTTTATTTTGTACTTAATCGGAACAGTTTCAGTATTTTCAAGATCTTTGACCAGAGAAGCCAGTTTGACACAACTCTTCAGGCTGAAGTTAAGGAGCTCTTTAAGATTTTTAACTTCAGATACTCAAACTCAGAGTCAGCTTTTTGAGGCTTGACAGCCGTTAAAACCTGTAACATTTCGTTAAGTTTGGACAGAATCAGGCTAGCAGTTCCCCCCTGTTTCCAGCCTTTGTGCTACTGTAAGCTAACCATCTGCTGCTGGTAGCATCATGCCGTCAAGATGAATAAAAGCAACAGATGACCCAAAGGTCCCAGAAGAGCCCATTTAAAGATGATTGTTGAACCCTAAATGGATAAGACGTCCAATTTGTAAAATATCTGTAATGCCTGGGGTCTGGCCTGGGTTGCATCATATTTACTTTGAAAGTCTAACACTTGAGTATAAAGTAGAAAATAAGAATGTTTACTGAAGTTTAAAATGCAAATTCAGATTCAGAACTTAAATTCCGTTCCGGGTCGCACAAAACTCTCGCTTAGCGATTAAAATGAGTGAACGTTGTTTTGTTGAAAAACGTTTTGTTTTTAGAGTGTAACACTGCTGCTCAGCTGATCCTTCTGAAGCGCTGGAGGAAAACCCAATCAAACATGAACTATTCTGATAACATGTGAAAACCTCCTGATTTCAATGTGTACTTGAACTCGAGTTCAGTTTATGAACTTTGCTCCAACAAAACTTGTTCTAAACTCTGCGTAAACCCTCAGATAAAACTCTGCAAATTGATGAGAAAATGAGCCGGACTTCAGCTCCTTCTGACAGACGTTCTCCGAGATAAGAGGTTTTCATGTCTGCACATCAGATTCCTTCAGAGGCTTTTCTCTGCTCAGCTTTCCTTCTGTTCTCCAGAATATTCTGTGGTCAGCACTGTGTCAGCCACGGACAGACAGACAGACCATGCTGGAAAATGTGACTTTTTACATCACTTTTAATCACCACTTCCTTTGTAAGCATCCTTATTATCTATTTTACATTTACATTTCAGACCAGCCTGCATCCTGGAGATTGGAGAAAAGTTTTCAGAAGAGTTTTTTAGTCGAGAGAAGCCAATCTGCGTCACAATCTGGCCGAGAAGAGAAGCTCCAGATTTATTTTACATTCACGTCAGATGTAAAAAGTCAGATTTTAAAAATGCAAATATATTTTCCTGACTCTCTGTCTGTCTGTGGCTGCTCACCAACACTTGATGAGACTGAAGCTACAGCCCACAGCTTTACCTCCCCTCCTCTTCCTCCCCTCACACACACACACACTCACACACACACTTTTGTCTCCAATCTGTCATGTACCTCCTGTTTCTGAACTGGCTGTGCGGCAGCCCGTCTCTAACAAACCTTCATCTGTGCCTCAGACTGAAGCTGCTGTCAAGAAAACACCAAATTAACGTTAATTAATTTGAAAAATCATCTTTTTCTCCCTACTTTTTCTGTTGCTGATTTACTTTTAAATTGTACAATGTTGACAATCGAGGCTTTCAAAATATTAATTTGTCTTACACAAAAAATGACAGTCGTTGGAAATAAAAGTCTTGATCTCGGGCTTCTGCCAAAAATGCTTCTGTAAAGACATGAACATTCGGAAAAGTGCCGATGTTATAATAAAGAAATAAAATATAATATGTATTTATAAAAGAAGCTACAAAAAATATATGTACAGGAAACTATTAGAAAGTAAATTAGCAAAAAGTAAACTTCAGAAAACTAAAGAAAAGGAAATGTCAGTAATTTCCAAAAATGAACTACAAAAGTAAACTACAAAAAGCAAACTACAAAAAGTAAACTACAGAAAACTACCAAAAAAGTAAACTACAGAAAACTACCAAAAAAGTAATTAAAGCTTTGCCCTGGAATTTACTTTTCTCTTATGTGTTTTCAGCTGCCTTGATTATTAAAAAAAGGTTGAATTTCAGTCTGACTTTGAACCGTCTGTTAGTATAATTTGACAGTCCTGATTGGTTGAGGCTAAACATGACAGTTTGGAGAGGAAAGCTCTCTGATAGGTTCTCCCCAACTCCCCATCACTTCCTGTTGAAGAGAGGCCCCGCCCACTTTGAGTGCTGTATCCGCCTCTTTTTGAACAGGCTGCATGCTATTGGATGAGAGGGGCTAAGGCCCGCCCACAACAACACGTGACGCATGATGCAGAAAAACAACCAGAAACTAAAGAACAACAAAATCCCAGTTTTTAAAGAAGGATTTTAGAGTTAACTTTAGTTTTTTTTATATATTGATTAGACAGAAGGTATGTATTATACACTGTGATGATAATGGGAACTGGTAGATAAGTTACTTTTCTTTAAGACAAAACATTAACACTAAAAGTCGATATAGATATGTTTTTTTTCTTTGTTTCCCCTCACTTTGCATTTTTGTGCATGAAGTTGCTTGTATGAAATATAGATATACGGTTTGTCAACGGCTGTGATCTGAGGCAACAAAGACGATAATAAATCCTCAGTACGAGATGAAAATTAAAAGGGCACTTCACAAACTGATCTTAATACTACATTACCCATGAGTCTCTGCTTCCTGTTTGCATGGACAAAGAGCCTCTCCAAAAATGTTGTCGTGGAATAAAAGATAATTTAGTTCAGCATTTAGCAGCACACCTAACATAATTTAAAGCTCTGTGAGTGGATGTTAAGTGCACCATGGGAATTGTAGTCAGTAACACTAGAATACATGTAATTATTATTAGTAATAGTAGTAGTAGGAGTAGTGTATACTTATTATTAAGTATATTATTGTAGTTGTTGCTTAAGAACCTCCAAGGTGTCATCATATTGCAAGGAAAGATGATTGATAATTGTATATAACTTTAATGTAGTACAGCAATAAAATAATAAAATATCAAATAAAAATCACGTGTAAAATGAGTGGAGTTTCCCTTTAGCGATCCGTGTCTCTAAAGCCTCTTCATCACAGCCTTTGAAAGATCATTTTGGGGTTTTTTTTATTAGTTTTTATCTCTGGGGGGATTTTGATGATGTCATTTCTATCTGCACCCTGATTGGCTCTCTCCCTGATCCCGACCCCTGCTCTGATAGGACAAGACGAGCGCGCTCAGTCTGAGCAACGTGGCCGGCGTGTTCTACATCCTGATTGGAGGACTGGGCCTCGCCATGCTGGTGGCGCTGGTCGAGTTCTGCTACAAGTCCCGCATCGAGTCCCGCCGGATGAAGGTGAGAACTCAACACGACTTCTCAGAATCAGAATCAAGTCACAAGGACAGATACAGGAAAACATTTACATAATGAATAGATAGTTGAGCTACTCACCATCCTTTGCTGTGGCCCACTGATGTTAACGATCGTAACTGAAAGGCTGCCTGCCAAACGTAAACATTCAGCCACGTGACTTACAAACTCTCTCTTGAGTTGTACACAAGACGGATCCTTTCTAGTCATAACCAGAGACTTCGGACCAGACTTGTTTACATCCGGCTTCTCCTTCTTCTTCTCCTGCTCTAATAGTGGCAGTAAACGCATGGTTTGAGGGGCATTATGACTTATTAGAATCAGAATCAAGTCAGAAGGACAGATACAGGAAAACATTCCACTGCAATAACTCTCTATAACAAATCACCTCCGGCTGGAGAGAACTCTCTGCTACAAAGCTTCTCTTGGACTTAAAATCACTTACACGTACATTCAATTTATATTCAACTTAATATTTAATATTCCATGCCTCACATACTTATGTATATATAATAACTTGCCTTATATTTGTTATTGTACATTTTGTAATTCAACATGTATATTTTCTGCTTTCTTGTTTATTTCTAGTCTTTTAATTGTTGTTGTACAATGCCATGTCTTTTCATGCTGCTGCAACGCAAACATTTCACAAATTGGGATCAAGTACTTCCTATCTTATATTTATCTTATCTCATCTTATCTTTATTGTTATTGCCAGGTACGTTTACACATACAAGGAATCTGCTTTGGTATCTGGTGGTGCGAACATAAAAAAATAAAAAAATAAGTTGCAAAGTAGGTAGGAAAAAAAAGACATATACTGTATTAGGAATATGGCGAACTATAGTGTATTATGTTATAAAGTGGAGTGCGGGTTTTTACTTTATAATAACATGAAGTCTGACAATTCCCCCCCACCCCCCTCCCACCTGAAACGCCTCCATTGGACCATTGGACTCCTTTGTTTACTTCTGGAACATAGTGACATCACTATGTAACACTCTATCTCCTATTGGCTAGTGTTCCAACACATTGTACGTAATAGGCTAAAGGGGCGGGACATCTCTAAGCGGTTGACCAATCACAACAGAGCCGGCCGGTTAACCAATCAGAGCAGACTGGGCTCTGGTTTCAGACAGAGGGTGAAAAGAGGTGCTGCAGCACAGACAGTATGAGAAAAATAAAGAGCCTTTTGAACATTAGAGCATGGAGACATGTCACAGTCGCGTCGACTTTTGCTAATAACTATTTAAATAGTGACAACTGAAGCACATCCATATCCAGACAAATAGTTTGAATTCCTCCCCTTTAGTTTTAAAGCACATGGAGACCTGTGAAGATAATAAAACCTCTCGAGGAGCGTTGCGCTCACTTCCTGCTGCGGAGGTGGAATCAGGAGGCGCTGCAGGAAGTGAATTAACGGATTTATTTCCAACACTCAGTGCTGATGCTGCAGCAGATTAACTCTGGATACACATCATTAACCTCACAGAGGAGAGACCGCTCTCAAAAACAACTTCACTGTGGCTACACACACACACACACACACACACACACACACACACACACACACACACACACACACGCACACACACACACACACACACACACACACACAAACACACGCAGACACACACACATACAAACACATAAGACTGCATGTGCTCTACAAAGTTTATGTAAAATTGAAATGTTTCTTTGGCAGCGGCAACTGCTCTTAAAGTGATTAAGTGGATAGTTCTTACAGTGGCTTGTAGTCCAATAAAATATCCCGACAGAGCAAGACACTATTAATAGTATTAATAATAAATAAACAAAAATCAGGTGATGGTGTCGGCTGCATTACTTTTAAGTTTACTGCGTGATGTGAAAGCTGCGTGCATTTGTTTTCAAACCCTACAACTTTTTAAACAAGATAGTTATTGTTGAGGTTTGGCTAATCGAGGTGTTTGAAGGTGCTTCAAACACAATTTGGATTTAAAATATGCACTTTATTGGCATCTTTAAACATTTAGGTAACTCTCAAATTTGCATCTGTATTTTCAGTGACGTGCGGTGAGGTTCATGGCTGGTGAGGCACTGACTCTTTCAGAGTCCGATTTACAAATAAATATTCTGTTATTTTCAAAAGCTTTTTTAGTCGGATGCTTCGATTCTTTCTAAACAGACCGTTCAACAAAAGGATACCCAAAATCTAAATATTGGATTGTTCTTTCTTAGTAAGATCCCATTTTCATTACAAATGTGGTCTTACCTTGACTTGAAGATGAAGTCCATGCTATCCTTCTGGACAACAATCTCTATTACTGTTTTGTAAAAGTTCTCCTTATCTTCCTGTAGTTTCAAAAGTCTAGTTTGTTGTTTGCGGTAGAATAACAGTAGCAACAAGAACCTGTGGGCTCACGTGCGCCCCCTTCAGTGCGGCAGAGGTTATGGCTGCCTCCCCTGGTGCTTTTTTCATTGCCGTTGTACGATGAGAGCAGCGAGCCTAAATATCATATATACGTGAAATAAGTTATTTAGAGACTATGGATGGCGAGGATAAATGTAATAAAGGGATCTACAAACATTACATTGGTGACCTACAGTGAGATGGTAACAGGCATGCGCTTAGGGCCCGCTTTCCAGACAGTTTCTGTGAGGTGACGCATTCTGAAGTGAGGCAGAGCTCATCTGTGCCTCACCTTACCCCACAGTAACTGTCTGGAGCGTGGGCACAAAATAAGTGCTCGCAATAAATGAGTGTCCGCGCTCCAGCCAGTTTATGTGGGCTTACGTGAGGCAGAGCTCGTCCCTGCCTCACTCCTCATCGCTCCCATGTAGCCTAGTTGTAGCGGAGCTCGGCAAATTTGCCGATTTTGGCTATAAGAAGCGACTGGAATCATACATAAATCAGACTTACAACACAGATCAGTGGAGACATTTTATTATTATTATTATTTAGTTTTTCTTTAGTTTTTTTTCCGTTACATTGGAGTATGACAGGTGACGCTCTGCCCTGCCTGCACGTCTGGGAGAGAACAAATATAGAACTTATTTAAAAACTGTTATGAAGTAAAACAATAAAGAGTTTCCGTGTTAATCTTTAAATGTTCTCTTCCTGCAGGAACTCATCGATGCCGCCTTGAGCTCCAACCTCGGGGGAGGAGGAGGAGGGGGAGGGGGAGGGGGAGGGGCTTATGGGGGAGGAAGAGGGGGAGGAGCTTATGGGGGAGGGAGAGGGGGCGGAGCCTCCGGAGAGAACGGACGCGTTGTGACGCATGATTTCCCAAAGTCCGGCGCTCAGGGTGTGCCCTGCATGGGGAAAGCTGCCGGCATGGGACTGGCCTCCACCGGCATGTGACCCTAACGGAGGCTCCTGATTGGACGAGACGCTCCTGCCTGTCTGCCTGTGGGTGAGGAAAAACAGGGTAGTAAAGGTTAGATTAGGGTTCGCTAAAAACCTGGTGTTTCCCCCAAAGCTTTACGTCCCGCAACACACTGAGTCATTTAGTTTAAAGAAAGTTAAATGTATCTTTTATTTACACTTTACAACCTCTTCCACTTTGACTTTGACACTCGTTTACTCGAGTAAAAGTCAGAGCATTATCTGAGTCAAAGAAAAAAGCAAATATTTTAATTTTTAGTCGAAATAAACTTATTTTTTTAATGAGATTATATTGAATATTTCCGTCAATCCTGTTAAATCTTTTTTTTTTATTCTCTGTTGAAAAATGAGACGCACAAATGTACTTTATTTTAAGCTACCTTCTCCTTTAAATACATATTATCTGACAGCTTTTACAGATTCAGATTATTAGCTAATGCAAAATATAAATCCACTCGTAAATACATTATTTAATATAATTATACTTTAAGATATCCAACAGCAGTATATCAAGTCAAACATGCATTCAGGTTCTTTAAACTGAGTGCTGTCTATTTTCATCTCATCAGGAAACACCAGGTTTTTAGAGAAGAGATAAAGGTGAGATGAGAGTAATGAGAGTATAATGATAGTATTGAGAGTAATGAGAGTATAATGATAGTATTGAGAGTAATGAGAGTATAATGGGAGTAATGAGAGTAATGAGAGTAATGAGAGTATTGAGAGTAATGAGAGTAATGATAGTATTGAGAGTAATGAGAGTAATGATAGTATAATGAGAGTAATGCTAGTAATGGGAGTAATGAGAGTAATGCTAGTAATGGGAGTAATGAGAGTAATGAGAGTAATGAGAGTAATGAGAGTAATGAGAGTAATGAGAGTAATGATAGTAATGCTAGTAATGGGAGTAATGAGAGTAATGCTAGTAATGGGAGTAATGAGAGTAATGAGAGTAATGAGAGTAATGAGAGTAATGAGAGTAATGAGAGTAATGATAGTATAATGAGAGTAATGCTAGTAATGGGAGTAATGAGAGTAATGCTAGTAATGGGAGTAATGAGAGTAATGAGAGTAATGAGAGTAATGAGAGTAATGAGAGTAATGAGAGTAATGATAGTATAATGAGAGTAATGCTAGTAATGAGAGTATAATGGGAGTAACGGGAGTAACGAGAGGACAGACGGTGTCTCTGCAGCGGCAGCAGGAGTGTTCCCTGAAACTCTGATGAACAGAGAGCACCTGAACACACCACGAGCTCCTGCTTAACGAGGGCTTAACAAACTCTTTTTCTACAGCGCTGTCTTAAAGCCTCCTTTTCTGCAATAACGGACCCGGAGGAGGGGGGGGGGGTTATTTTATTGACTATATCCTCATCCTTCACACGTTCACGGCACTTTGTCGAGAAGAGCATGTTCAACTTTCTAAACACATGTTGCTGATGATGATATCTGATCAGTGTTTGCCTCTTTAATAATATGAATTATTATTATAATAATAAGTTTAAAGACGGGTGTGTCCCACGCTGAGTTTCTGCACATGTTTTATTCCTGCAGCAGCATGACGACAACAAGCAGCTGTTTCCTCAGAAAACACCCAGAAAACTGACATCAAGTCAACAAATAATTACTTTATATGATTCATTTCTGCAAGTAATTGGAAATTCCTGCGTCAATAATCAAACTGTTTGTAGTCACAGGACTTTTATTTTCATTTTAATCACAGGGGAATTTCAGTGTGCTTTATTTATTAAAAAAAACATCTCTATACAAAGCAGGATGAACATAAACTGAATTAAAGAGAGGTAATTGAAATCAATTATAAATAAGAAATACGTGAAACATCTTCCAATAAAAAACCGGAAAATATGAATATTCCAATTGCAAACAGCAGAAAGGAACATTTGACACTTAATCTTGGAAAACTATTATTATAATATCATTTTCAGTGACAGATAAAGATTCCAGGGGAAAAACTCTATAAAACACGTCAAATCTGCTGTATTTTAATTCCTAAAATGCTATTTTAATACTGCACGTGTTTCCTAAAATACATTTAAAACAATACAAACCATAGAGACTGAAGCTGTAAATTCATATAGTTTTACTGATTTGTGATTTTAATGTTACAGCTGATCTTAAACTTCCTCTTAATGTCATAAAAAGCTCTCTCTGCAGCTCGGTCCACTTTTGATACTGAAACTGAACATCAGGAATAAAACGCTCACATTTTATGATACGAATGATTCATGAAAAACACTTTGTCTGAACAATGTTATTTTGTATTGATTTATCTGTTTATTATCTTGTTGATTTGTTAACTTCATTCAGACCAGTTACTCTATTTAATAAAAACTCTGAACATGAAATCCAAGTTTGTCGTCTTTTGTAGTTTCAGATATTCCTTCGGATGAACCCTAACTAAGGTTCAGTTACTCCACATTTTCTACGGCATACTATACTCTGACATTCTTCATAATTCATTTCACAACATATTATAATATGGGGCGAAGCCTGCGAGATAGTTCAGGCAGTCAACTTGAGCACCAATGATACATTAACACATGACGCGTCCCTCTTACAACCAACCAAACACAATCTCCTAAACTTGCCGCTCTATTTAAGCTGCCAGATCTGCCTGCCTCTGCCTCGCTAATGCTGCTGCTCTGTCACATTGCTGATGCGTTCACGTGCTGCTGCTCGCCTGCCCCACCACCACCCCAGCTTCCACCTGTAGGCTTGGGGGATAGTTATCTAATCATCACTCAATGTTCTTTGTTAATCTGTGGAGCGATGAGGCCCGAGCCTAGACGCCTAACTCAAACTATATGCTGCTTCTAATAAACATATAAGAAACACGTGACTTGTCTGACTGAAACAGTACGGTGGTCCTTAGTGCCATGTACATTTTCAAATTCATTTATTTTAAGCTCCAACCACCGGAATTCATTATGATAGTCAAGAAAACTCTCCTGGTGAATTGTATTCAAATTCCAACAACATGTACCCCTCCCTCATCAACCTTGAAGTTTAGCCTCAGTAGGGTGGTCCTTAAAATTGAAAGTGGGAAAGTCTAAGCTCCAACCCCCAGAATTCATTCTATTAGTCAAGAAAACTTTCCGACTTTCAATTTTAAGGACCACCCTAATAATATATAAGTTTTATGGCTGAACAGCTGCAGTACATATGGGAGACCAGTAGTTTGTATACAGTAAAGGCCCGGACACACCAAGCCGATTTTGGCCGTCGGTGGGCGTCAGGCCGACGATGAGCGTCGGCACGCCCTACACAGATTGGTGTGTCCCGCACCGTCGTGTCTTTTCAGCCGGGCCGACACCTTTTCGGCCGAAAACCGGCAGTCGGCCAAAGGCAGTCGGCAAAGAAATCACTCTGTTCGCAGTTCGTACGTGCTTCTTGGCCGTCGGCTGAAGTCTTTGCGGTGTGTTCCAGTGCGACACATGGCCAAGACGCAGGAGACGTGAGGCGACACAACAGTCGGGGGTCCGTCTGTGTCAGTTCTTTGGTGTCAGCTTGGTGTGTCAGGGCCTTAACAGGGACATGTTTATGACATTTGTTCATGATATTTCTTTCAAAATACATTTTTGTAATTTTATATTTCAAAATACTCCACATGTTACATGATATGTATTACAATGATGTATGCACTGATTTATTAAGACATTTGATCAAATTGTAAGGACATACAATTACATTTGTATGCAATTTTTTACAAAATACTATGACTGTTTTTAAGATATTTCTTTCGACATACTATAATACGACATATTTTACGGTATTTTAACAACATACTACAATTTGCCCATATATATATGTATACATACTATACGATTACATATTTAAGGTTATCTTTGACAACGTACTATAATATGATTTTGTAAGTCATATACAAATCACAATGCAGTGTGTCATATAAAATAACCTCGAACTTTAACTACTGAAAATAGGCATGTATATATTTATTACATTTCCTTATGAAAAATGTTGATTTCCAGCCTGACTTCCCCCAGCATTGTCTCTGAGATATTCCCTGAGCGGTGTCTTTAATATCCTTCTCCTTCGTCATGTTATGTAATAATGTGTTGATACTCTGAGGGTGACACCAGGAAGTTAAATCAGATGTATCTCCTATTTCCAGCTGGACGGGAGACTCATTAACTCTCTTTATTTCACGTCTATTGATAGTGAACAAAATCTTCTCAGAGTGACGGTAGCTGTCAGATAAAAGAGACTGATATCCACTTACTTATCTGGCATGACCAACTGGCAGAAATGGCACTTTATAGGAGATGTAAAGACGTACATATAAAACTGCATGATTATATCTGACAGCGGGAGACGTTTCTGATGAGCATCTCTTCCAAATCCGACTGACGGGGAATCTGAAGCCAAACAGAGACTCTGGGGTTGAGATGAGAGGCAGCTAATGTACAACATACAATACTATGACGTTTATTACATACTTTTTACAACATAAAATAAGGCCTTCTGGGATCTTTTTAACAACATTTTTTACAATTTCAAGTTTCAATTCAGGGGGCAGCGACAAATATATAAGATGGTTTCATATACCCAATTAAAGGTCCCCTATTATACTGTCTCAGATATATACAGAACCTGTCTCTGATTGGCTGAAACACCAAACAGATCATTGCAGCATCCCATAATCCCCTCTGTTTCAGCCCTGTTTCCAAAGTGCTGATTCTCTGTCTGTTACTTTAGATGAAAATAAGGAGCCACTCCCCACGCCCCTCTGAGAGATATTTGGTTAAAAAGAACTCAATAGCCGCGTTCACACCAAGTATTTTGCCGTACTTAGTTCCCAGCACTTAGTTCCCAGCACTTAGTTCCCAGCACTTAGTACCCCCATGGAACTAAGAGCCGATCGCATTCACACTTCTTCTTCTTCTGCTTTGGGTTTACTGGCAGGCCGCAAACAACTTCACGGCATATACTGCCACCCGGCCGGAAGTCCCCGGAGTTGGGGACTGGCTTCAGTAGAAGCTGCTGGGACTCCCAGCAGCTTCTACTGAAGTCTTCCGAGTAAATCGCCAGAACGCCGACACCTCCTCATCTCCACCGCTCCCACGTTTTCTTTTGTGTTGCCATAAGTTAGTCTCTCTCCGTTGGTGCGCGGGGCTAATGCTAATGGTAATAATGCTAATGCCAGCAAATACAATGGCGGCTTCAAAAAACTTTTCAGAGTTTTACGGGCCGTGGTTTGCAATTCGCCCAACCAATCAGAAATTGGTACTTTTTTCTCCCCAGGATAGTATCACCTCTTGCAGGTAAAAGTTCTCTGAACTAAGTTCTCTTTTT